AAGCCGTGCCGTTAATATCTAGGTACCTTAACAATTTTGACCAAAGTTTCAACTCTATTTAAAATGCTGGTGGTAAATACCTTTCAGCCAAGATCCAATTATAATAATAATCTTATAAAACTTCATCTTGTTTAATTCAGAGCCCAAACAAAGCACCCTCGTTACTATTGAAGTCAATTTACTTTCTTCCACAACAAAAGATATCAATTTCACTGAAAACGAAGACTTCGCCATGACAGGATTTACGATCAAATAAATGGTTGAGTTTTAAACTTTTATACCGCTGGATCGATTCCACTACAAAATAAAAATCTTACATTTATTATAATAACCACATTCTGCCCAATAAGGTTGTCCTGCGTCCACAAAATATTCTTCTTACAAACAGAATATAATTCTAGACCGAATTGAAATTATAAAAACGTCATAAACAAATTTTTATCTTGATCCTCGTTCGCTCGGCTAAAACAAAACATTGATCCAGCTAAACTTCATTAAAATCTCATCACCTTTTAAAAATGATTAGTGAGCCAGACGAAGAGTTTGCCCCGTGGCGCTTGAATTGTGTGGGGTTGAAAACGTAAATCTACATTACTAGTACTAAACCCTTTTAATAAGTATTCCCGCGTGTGTTTTTTTAATTTCTTTAATATAACGCGTAGATACGGCGACATTATCCATAATCTATTCCAACATTTAGCCAACTTTATTCCCTTCACATATAAAAATCTCGAAGTCCTAAACGCTGAAACAGTTAACATAGGTGTAGATGGGAATTAATTAAAGAATGAATTTTCATTATTTTTAACAGTCTAATTACAATATAGTAAATTTATTCGTCTAAAACATGAACTAAACCGAACTAAAAATAAGCTTTAACATTTGTCTCTGTATGTAGTAATAGCGGCTTCGCACGGGTGCAATGCTGATACTAAATACACTACACAAAAACTGTGACCGTTGTATATAAAAACATAGCGGCCCGCTCCGGTTTCGCACGGGTATTAAATATATAGCCTATGATCCAATAGTTTTGAGTTGTTCATTACTGCCCGTGGCCCGCACGCATCGTAGGGTTCAGCCTGCGTTTGCAATGTAAGCAAAAAAAATTTAATTATTTACGACATCACATTAGAAACCTCAAAAATAGATATAAACCTTCCTCTTTAATCACTCTATCTATTTAAAAAACAGCATCAAAATCCGTTGCGTAGTTTTAAAAGATTTAAACGTACATAGGGACAGAGAAAGCGACATTGTTTTATACTATGTAGTGATGTTTTGTCTGTGTGAAATTTAGTTTTAATATGTACATGTTAATTTATTTAATTTATTTATCATTGCTGTTGTTATCTTGTTTTAACATGTATTAACAGGAAAGAGAATGTAGGTTGTTCGAAGATAGGTTTCACAATTCAGGCCTAAGTATTTTCTCGGGCACGACACATAATCGGCTTTTACTAAGAATTAAGCGTGTCCCAATGTAAGTACATATGTTTAAGTCGTCTTAGCAATTTCTACTAAGAACTTTGTATTTTTTATAGAAAAATCTGCTGCTACCTAATTAAGTTAACGTATGCATAATAAAGGAACATCTTAAAAATACCTATAATGTTTTAAAATAAAAATGTGTTTCTTTAAATGGTATGTATAAAAATACTAGCACTGCCTATATTTATATGTAATCACTAGTTCCACTACAATGTATCTAATAAAATCACTATCATTCAGATATACGACATACGATCGCAAAACACTTCGCCTAGACTATGGCTGCCTGTATCTAAATGAATCAACAGTTACAGCGTAAAGGATTTAAGGCCTTGCACATAATTCGCTGAACGCACACTCCGTGCTCGAAAATACGTATAGTCAGCATAACCTGCATCTGAGTGCTAATAGAGAGTGCGTTGCAGCGTTCCCATCGGGGCTCTCGTTAAGCGTGCTTAGACATTGGAGCAAACATTGTTATAACTGAGCGTTGTACCCTTGTTAAGTACACGAATCCAAATGCAAAATTCAATTGCAAAATCGCTGTAAATCTTCTCTTAGCCTTTAAGCGCACCAATAGCGCTGTGGGTCACGCATTTTAGTTTGCATTCGATCTTTAGGGAGAGTGAGACAATTGACGAACTTTATTTTTGATTAGCTCCTATTTAGTCATACCTAACATTATCCATAGTGAATTTTAGTTTTGTGTTCATAATAAATATAAAATGTATATTAAGATGTACTACCTTCATTGTTTAATTTTCATTCAGTATGTACCGAACTAACAGTAACCACATTTATCTGACAATCTATTAGGTCCAGAAAGGTGAAGAATAAGTCGTTCGTCCGTCCGAACCTCATTAGATTGCAAGACAAGCTTATTAAACACAAACAGGTCTTTATAGCATAGTTACAGTTTATTGGAGTGAATTCCAGAATTTCCAAGATTGGCCGCTCTGTATATTGAGCCGGGTACTTTACAGTTTGCCACATTTATGAGGTCACTTCGTTTAAAATGTTTTACTAACGTACTTCATATTAGATTTTTCCTATTATTATATTTATACTTAGCAGTCATCGCTGTGATTCTGTACATTTTAGATTATATCTATTAATATCAATAACTATTTTTACGATAGAATAGAATTTCCGCTAACAGAATATATATACTGACAAGAAAGCTTTATATTTTAATTTTCTAAATTCAGGTAATGTTTTATCAAATTGTAGGTTTAAAAGAAGAACGACCCAAATACTTTACTAATTATCATACTTTGAACATGCAAGTTTATTAAGGCTAGATTATTTATAGAATGTCTGGAAGTGAAATAATTAAATAAAACTTAATAATAGCCCATATACCCAGGTAGGCCGTACTAAAAAGAGATTCTTAATAAATCATTTATGTAAATGTCGGTAACAATGCCAGAGAATAGAGGGTGCTCAGTCATAGCCAATACAATTGGTAGTGGTGAAACAATTTATATGACCCGGTCATGCGTTAGGGCTCAATGATTTTTTCAGACCCCGGATTTTTCAATGGGTTCAACATTAAGATTAATTTGAATTGAAAGCTCACGAGGCAGATTATTTACCATCACATTAAGAAAAATTAAAAAGGACTTATAACATCACTAGTAACTGAACTCTTTTAATGGCAGTGTGCACCATTAGCATCGTCATCAATCGGTGACAACAACGTAACACCCAAACGTCCGTCGTTCCACAACTTAGCGTTTAAGGCAGTTTTTGCCTCGCACCATAAATACATGGTAGCCGCTGCCGGAAGGATTTCCGACCCTTTTAATTTTTGCTTTTTGCATTTAATTGGGCTTAGGGCCCTTCGAGAAAAGATCGTACCAGTTCTTAAAAGAACGGCAACGCACACGCGTGCCCTCTGGCATTGAGAGCGTCTATGGGCGGCAGCATATTGTCACTTAATATCAGGTAAGCCTAAGGGTCAGCTTCCCCCAGTCAAAAAAATGATTACCTTTACGCTTACTTTTGCACTGACTATAGGACACTATAATGAGCTTGCTTTGCAATGATCCCTTCAGACTACAGTTACCGTCGTAAATTTTGACTTCATCCTTGAAGACCATGAAATATTATTGATTAACCACCTACTTTGCTAGTCAATGCTACTAGTAATAAAATAATTTGAATATTTACTAAAATTTCTTATATAACCTCTGTTTTTTATTGGAGCCCCTTTAAAGAACCTTCGCAAAGAGGATGCGTTTTCTCCACAGTGTCCTTGGTTATGAGATCTAGCTCACCTAACCAAATATTTTATTTTACAGAAGATCATTTGCTCATCTGTTGTATGATGTACTGCGACAATGCTTCCCACCGGACGCGGCGCTACTCCCAGGCCCGACGCCAGTTCTAGACGGTTTACTTCCTGTTTCCGACTGTTAACAACGTGACAGTTGCAAATAAAGGTTTTTGAATTTGGCTTAATAATTTGAATGGGCAAAGATGTAGTTGCCATAAAAACTTTATTGTCTATGTAAAATCCGTCATAAGTCTGTGTTACAGAACATAATCTTTATATATATAATTCTTCTGTGAGTGTGTATGTCACTGAACTTCTCTCAAACGACTGGACCGATTTTGATGAAATTTTTTGTGTGTGTTCAAGGGGATCTGGGAATGGTTTAGATTCACAAATCAGCTCGGCAGATGGCACTGCAGTCGGTACTTTCATACTTTGCTTAATATCCTAATCGCTTTAAATATCATGCATGACAACGTCTGTGGGGTCCACTAGTATTATATAAAAAAGATATATTTATTTTCCTTAAACAAATATTTAAATAAGCTTGTAGCCTGAGGTAGAATATAAAACGTAAACGATAATGAATGAAAGAATGACGAAACGCTTTCATGTTCCGTATAATTGTTCAAAAACAGTCAGACATGATGCGTGATGATATCTCATCACAACCAATATCGTCTTCCATATGTCGTTTTACATTCTCATATGAATCCGAAGTGAAGTACAAACATTTTATTCTAATCGTATCTATCATTTTACAACGTCAGAGACTTTTGTAATAAAAGTAGTTATAATATTTTATTCATTCATTTTTAACTGTTCGGCTAGTACTACCAAAGTAATTTGAAAGCGGGAAAATTTAAGCCACTGTTACCAGAATGACAGTTAGAGGGCGCTATTTTTAATGTGGTTACCTATTTTTACATTCATGTTATGCTTACCACTAATAAATTAAATTATTAAAATTAACTTTATTACTCCATAACGTCTTATTATATTCTAATGAAAACATTGTAACCGAAAGTCTATTAATTTTTAAAATATCTGTGGTAATACTTTGAAACTAAAAGTTTTTACATAATATTAACGATTGACAACGTCAAAATTAATAAATTCACATTACAATTTACATTTCTGTGATCCAAGTTTCAACTTAAAAACACGAAAATTTATAGAACGTTATTATTGTTTTATTCTTTTTGAAAGAAACCTAATAAATATATCAATAATGGATTACCCTCACTCGTGTGATACGTTTGTCGTTTTGCCCCCGCTAACAAATGATAATGGCGTAATATTTGGTAAAAATTCCGACCGGCCGCAGAACGAAGTCCAAGAAGTGATTTTGGTGAAGAACAGAGTCCGGGAGTCCAAACTTAAGGTAAGGATTATTATTCCAATATGTTTTCTAAACAATAAAATACCAGTACAAAACTCGAATAATGACAAATAATAACAATTTTTTTTTGGTTCTGGGTGGGTCATATTGTTAATTATTTTTTTTAATTTAAGATTTAAAAACGTTAAACAGCTTTTAAATATAGCGATATATTTAAGTTTATTCTGTTATATCTCCTCTTGTATGATGTCTATATCTTTCTGTAGTAATCTCCCTCAACTAAGAGCAAAAGAATTTCCTCATATTTTCCTCTATAATTTGTCATGTCATCATTATATTGTATTTAGTAACATGACGATTTAAACAACATATCTGTCTTGATTAGCCTTATGAAATAAATAACAAGTTGTATGATACTTTTATTATACCATAGAGGTTTTGTAATCCCTATGACAACTATAGTCAGCTGTTATCAGCCTATGCTATTACAATATTGTCCGACAGCCACAGTTTACAATTAATAATGACTTACCATTCCCTTCATAATAATTATTACTACAAATGAAATCATTATTCTAGCCCAGTTAACAATATTTTGTGAACAAATATCTTTTTCACTGTAAAATAGTGGTTCAAAATAACTTTATTTCAATTTTCATGCAAAGCTTGAATCAATATTATGAACATTTGCATAAATGCTTTTAAAAAGAAAATAGTTTAGTTTTATTTAAAATCAAGTATACAGTATTTACAATTTTCTTAATCTACAAAGTAATAATAGAAAATAAAATCAATATAATAGTAATAATATCTTTTATGTAAAATGAATTTATACATATTCTCAATATCATATTATTACTGTTATTTTAGTGTACTTACATCACAATAGATGAAAGTCCCAATGCGATTAATGATGTAATGTTAAGTAAGCCAGCATGGATGTGGGGTGCAGAAATGGGTGCTAACAATAAAAATGTAGTGATTGGTAATGAAGCTGTTTGGACTAACAACAATGAAGGTGATGGAGACGCCAGACAGAAAAGGCTATTAGGCATGGATTTAGTCAGGTGAAAGACAGTTTAATCATAAAATAAAAAATGTAATAAACTAATAGTATGTATGTAGTGAATACTATGTTATGTTTAATTAATATTGGCCACAATGGACATCATCTTTCAGATTTTCAATACTCATTTGTTTTATAAGCATTAACATTGTATAGATTATTAAGCCCAGTGTTCATAACCTGGACTGTCTGTGTTTTTCCATTTTTTTGGGAACAAGATCTCAGTACTACTAAAATTCCAGGCTTGGTCTGGAGAGAGGGAACTCAGCTGATGAAGCTTTAGACATCATAACAGATCTCCTTGAGAAATATGGCCAGGGTGGTCCATGTTCAGAGTTTGATGATAGCCACTTCTACCACAATTCTTTCCTCATAGCAGATCCAAAGGGAGCATGGGTACTAGAGACAAGTGGAAAGCTATGGGCTGCAGAGAAAATTAATCAAGGATACAGAAACATCTCCAATGGTCTCACAATCAAAACCAAAATTGATAAACATTCAGAAAACTTGTTTGACATTGCTGAAAAAATGAATTATTGGGATGGAAAAGTATGACTACAGATATAAAAGTGTTTTTATATCTTTATTTTTATACTTAATATCGTCAAACACAGTACTATGGTTAGCGTTGAAGTGAAAGAAACTCCCTTTTGAATTCATGATAATATAATTTGTTGTTTAATTTCAAAAAATATATATATTATGTTTATTTTGTAAATACCAAACAATTTAAGATTTTTTAGGGAAAACTGGACTTCACGTCTGCATTTTCCTCTGGTGGTGACGAGATGCGACAAGCAGAGGGCGAAAGGTTGCTAGGTGCATTATCCTCAGGAAAAACCTTTGACATAAAGGCTATGATGAACATCTTAAGGCATAAGGACAGTTGTATATGCCGAGGAGTTGACGACACTTTTCCAACACAGGGCAGTCAGGTGCGTTGAGCAATCAACAAAATTTTATTCTTTATTGTAGACATTTAAACAGTGATTAAGTTTATTATATTGGCTTAAATATTAAATGACCGTTTTAGGTTTCATCGTTATCTGCTTCGGGAGTTAGCGTTCACTGGTTTACGGCCACACCTGACCCGAGTGTTTCGTATTTCAAGCCGTTTATCTTTACACCAAATGCGGTGGCTTCCTCTTACACTGTCAGTCCTAATGAGGTAATGGTAATGTTCAATTGAATGGTTATCAGACTGGGCGTAATGTGTTCCTCCATAATAAACTAATTTTGTATAATTTGCAGGCAAACAGAGAACATTTCCTGTACTCTCTTCACTCGAAATACGTATTGAGAACGAATAACGAGAAAATTACGGAAATCCTTAAAGGCGTTGAAGACGAATGCCTCCAAGAAATAACATCGCTGATACAAAACCATACATCAGACGAGACCTCGGAAATTGACGAACTTTTTAAGAAGTGTATCGAAACAGAGATCAAATTGTATGGTTAGGCTGCTAATCAATCATTTTAAACTCTTTTTATTTTGATTAATCGTTATGTGTAAGTTTTTTAAAGATTTACTCGTATGTTCCGACGTGAAACCCGTGTACGCTGGGACAAGGCTCTCTCCTTTCCCCGGCCCATGTTTTTTCTGACAGCACTGGGGATACTCTTAACACTGGCCGGGCAGTACCGGAACAAACTTTTGTCCGAGGTCGGAACTCGGGTTGATGGAGAGTGTTCAGAGGAGTTTTCATCATCGGGCTTCGAAGCAGAGTATGAAATTCCACCACCACCTCGACGTTCGTCTTTCTACATCTGAGCGATATTTAAGGCAATTTTTGCCGCACACGAATTCGACTTTTGGTCTTTCAAGAAAAGAGATTACCAACTCTTAAAAGGCCGGCAACGCACTTGCGAGCATGCCGGCACCGGCAATGGTGGTGCCATAAGCCTCCTGGCCGTTTACCCCTGTCTTATATAAATAAGGTATAGTCTCATTAAGAACTGCATCATAATCGGTCGATCCGTTTGGTCGTAGGTAGACGTCAAAGATGATATTATCAAAATAGTTACATAAAAGTAATACTTATCGCCCCGAAACAATGTGTATAGGTATTATTATTATATTATTTTAGCCGTTTATACATTGTTCGTATAAACTACATCTTGATTAGAAGCTTTAGTTGCTCGAGGATAATTCCATTTAGTAGCATTGTTATGTATGATACTCAATTCATATTTTTATTCTTTTTTTTTATGAATAATCACTATGTTATCTTAAACTTATAGAACATTAAATATTGGTTTGAGGTAACATTAAAATAAATACATTTCATTTCATGTATTGATTTTCTATAATATAAATATTATTATGGTCAAAAGCATCTCTAGTCCAACAAGCTTTGACACGTATATTTTTGTAAGCTTTTAAACTTCAATGTTTTACATTTGTTTCCTTATCTTCGAGGTAAGTACTCGTCGTCAGTCAAAACGATTGGTTCTTCATTATATTGTAATATTTTAAAAATATAACAATAAGTAATATTTTAAAACTACAGATACGAATAATGTTATAATTATGTTATAATTATATATCCTAGATTTAGAATAGTTGAAAGCTTTGAAACATTGCTGAATGTTAAAATGAAATGCACTTTTCATTGCTTAACGTTGTGATACAAAGGCCTTATTTTTAATTTTGAAATTAAATATTTATATTCATAAATATTGCTATACATATGTTGCGTAAATTTTATCGTAAATGACAACGATTTTTGTCATAATGTAGGATTAAAATTTTAACACCAAACTGATTAAAACATCCAAATTAGTACAGCTTGATAATGTTACTTTGATGTATAATAAGTGCTACAAAAAAAACTACTATTTATTTAAGTAATCCAATGAACTCTGTCTTCAGCACAAGATTGAAGCCCAATTTGGTCACTCGAGATTAGACTCCGCCATCCCTATACGATAATTAAATATCTATATCCTATATTTAATCAGGGGTTCAGGGAATTCAAAATCAATATCGCTCTCTTTAATAGTTAATAGAGATTTTAAATTTCACGAATTTAAACATGCACTTATATTTTAGGAGAGTTGTAGAGAAGTCTTTGAATGCACAGTACAGTTGAATTCATCGCTCATTTTACTGATTTAACATATTCTATTAAGTTAGTTAGTTTAGTAGAATTTTACTTAAGGGCTTGTCGACGACGTCCGAAATAGATTTTTCTATAGGTACTCAGTATGGAGTATATAGTCTGCTGGTAGTGTCGATCTTTATAATATAAGAAATATACTGATGTAAGGTACTTAGGACTAGTTATTAAACAACGTCAGGTGCAATCTCTAATCTTAGCACTAGTATATGATCGAATGTAGATCAATATTTTCTGTATCCGTAGCTTATAAATGGCAACTAGAAATAACGATGTTACAATTACTCTCTAGGGTATGAAACATTGCAGTATTTATTTTATATGTATTCTAATAAAAGACATTTCTTATTATGATGGGTTCTGCTATAGAAATAACCAGAAATTCTTCTACATCTTCTTTGCGTCGTTTATTATTTTTATTTCAAAGATGAAAACAATAATAAATTAACTACGAAAATAATATGACATGTATAATAAATAAAATATTGTATTGTTTGCAAAAAAAATCCTGACATTATCTGAAAGCATGATAAATATTGTCATAATTATTATTTAAATGCTTTATTTTAGTAATAAAATGTTAATAATTTTATCTTTGTTTTTCTTCGAACACATCAATATATTGACCTGTTTTGTTTTAAAGAAATTAAATAAGTTTGAATGACAGATAGTGTTGTTTACCTTTGCTTGTACATTTGTAAATCAGAAATGTTAATTATTTCTGAAAGGGTAAATTAACATAGTAAACAACATTACTAGTTTCAAAAATCATTTTGAAAATGTTTTCTTAAAGGGATTAGCAAATAAAAAGTGTTTTGATTCGAATGATTTTATTATTTAGTAGACAATCTAGACCATACTCAAGACTTGTATCACATTCATATAATTAATATGAAAAAAAAAACATTCCTCAAATACTTTTCTGTTGGTTAATATGTTACCAAAAAGAATGACGGATCTGCAAATATCATTCTCAGATATGATAATTAGTTATAAACATTAATATCAAATAATAGTTTTTAAAAGTGATATTATGCAGATTTTATTCCTTTTGTTACCATTTGGACTTAGAGCATTAAAACATTTTTTGGCAAAACTTCAAAATTCTCGAGTAGAAAAGTCGACTACTTGGCGCTGAAATGATTATCTAAAACGCGTACTTAAAGTTCTACTCTTACAGCTAATTAAACACTTGAATTATGGACTATAACCCTACGATGTGAAATGTATTGGAAGATATGGAAATGCAACATATAAATGTTTATTGAGACAAAATTATTAAACTTTAAGTCGACAATTCTAACGAAATCTGAAATTTACTAAAAATTCTGAACAGAGGTGAAGAAAAATAATAATATTGTCGAAAAAAATGTATTTGAGAATGAAAACAGGATTTTTGAAATCGTTAGAAACACAGGGGCCATAACGTACTTTTAAAGTCTATATATACAACACATGACAAACGTGTGACATTCATTATTTATTTATGTTTCAATATTAATTTATGAGATCTTGAAAATGCTCGAATATACAAAAGCCAGCCAAGCGAGTATACAACGATAGCTCGTAGCGGCCTTTGATTGAGTTTTGTATTTTCGATTATTAGACACAAACTGTTATAGACAAGTAACATGTCGCGAGACATTTTAATATTATTAATAAACAACAAATCTTATTCAACAACTACTTGGTGATGGTAAACACTTATTATTAATACCGCCAGAATAAAAAACACTAAAATCGATTCAAATAGGTGAAATCGATTTGTATTCGCCACAGATTTTGCGGATAAAACATTTTTGGCATACAAGGATGATATGGTTCTCAACTTTGGTGAGAGCTCCAGGCACACTTTCAATTGAAAAAATATTCTCCGGCATTAACGTACTTATTCTCTATAGCGAAATTCGTTCAAAAATGTGTAATCCAAGTTTATTTTGCAGTTTTTTCGCTATATAGAACCTATTTCACGTAACAATAATCTATTTCGAGAGAATATTAGGTCAGTCTAAGTAATACTGAATAAATATATACTAATTACTTACAAAACAATACCATTCTTAGGTGTTCACAACTAAAGTCCGTCCTAATCACCTCGTTCCACGACAGAGCGGTTTTTAACACATTCCGCCGCGCACTGCCTCATTGTGGAATCAGCTGCCAGTAGAGAAATGTATGATTCCTTCAAAGGCCAGCAACACACTCGTGATCCCCTCGGGGATGCAGATGTCTATGGGCGGCGATCAACACTATTCAAAGTGCTCGTATTTAGTTATCACCTAAGTAACGGATAAAGAGTAGAAAAAGGCATGAACATTGCCATATTGATAAGAAGACGGGAAAGTGAGAACATGATTAAAATTCACAGCGGAGATGGCCTTCACATATTTACAATGATTTTATGTTTAATTTATTAAAATATTACTTCTAATTTACGATTATTTAAGCGTATATTGGTCTAACACCAAAAACTTGCTATTGATTTAATATTAACATCGAGCCTTGTCTAAGGCGGAGAAGTCTATTATGGAAATGTATACAAAAAACTGAAATGATTTAAAATTGTTTATTTTACAAGTGATTTTATAATGAAGTTCTACTTCGAAGAGTAGGTCTTAACGGGTTCACTCTGTTAAATAAGAGTGGCCAAACAAGAACTTAAAATAAAGCAGAAAAATTGCGTTAATTTTTATTAATTTCATAAAACGCAATGGTTTTTTTAAATTGCACTATTCTATAAAAATGGACATGTAACTTTAATAAGAATATATCATTATATGTTTAATCCAAATATATATATTATTATTAAAGTTTTTTGCGCAGATCCATCCACAGGTACGGACCATAAAAAGTACACTTAAAGTAATATCAGAGAGCTATTCATGTTTTACACACTATGGGGAGCAAAATACGCTAATCACTACTTTGACAATTTTGAAGCCCAAGATCAATGAATATGATGCTTATGTAATCTAAATAGAACACAATTACTGTATATATAATTAGGCTATCTACCTTTCAACAGTCGATCAAATAACATATAATTTTAAATATCCCCAAGTGATAACAATTAGACAGTCGACACTGTCAAAGAATGCTAAATATAGCAATACAATCGTATAGAGGTGATTCGTATATATGTATAGTTAAGGCAAAATCGAAATGTGATGCATAGACTAGAGGAAGACAAACCCAGCCACGCTACAGCAAAGTGCTTATATAAATGCAAATTTGACGTTTATACCGTTCTCAGACTAATGTAACGTTTTGGAACGTTTAGCGCGTTTTAACGCTTTCGAAGTGCGAACCCATGGCAACATGAAATTTCTGAAATATAAAAGTTAACATTAGAGAAGCTTTATTTTCTAATTAAAAAGTAAATTTCTTAAAACGACACAGGAAATAATTAGTAATCGTAGTAGATTAACAAGGCAATTACCGTACCGTTAACAAGAGTGTAATAAAATAAAAATTGTTTGAATAAGAATTACTAAATATAAGGTAAAGCGATAGCAAAAAAATATAAACTGATAGCCGCCTACAAAACATCACCCTTAAAATATGCCATGCAGAGAACCAACACACAATACACAACGCAATTATTTGTTGAAATTAAATATAAAATTATCACAGGTAAAAGAGGTTACTTTTCAGTTTTCATTAATAAATTACGTATCCCTAGTCTGTTATGTACGTAGCGTATAATTTCGGGACAAGTTCCGTAACTGTATAAGATTAAATCCGACCAAATCAAGCTCAGGTAAATATTTTACAACACACAAGCAAGTGTCGGTAAAATAAACAACACATAGCGTAAAACGCACACCGATACCATTATTAGGAATTAAATGAATGATTAACCCACAAACACTGATCAAACAAGCAAATTCCAGCATGCTTAAGTGAAAAAAAAAAGTTTATGGTGCAATGTTTCCAGTAATCTTAGCAAAAGCTTGTATTGTGCATGGAAATGAAGACCAACCTAAAATAACAAAACCAAAAAATGCAACAAACCGCGTATGACAATTGCATTAAAAAGCAAGAAAATGCTGAAGCCAATGTTTGAATCCAATTCGGTGCTGAGCGAGAAAAATGAAATAGAGAAGTACGAAAAGTAACGGGTTATCTTCTAATACTGAAATGAAATATTTTTATTCAACATTTATTGATGAATACGCAATAATAATTCAATTAAAACATGACCCACGCGATACTCTAAAGGAAAAGTGAAATACTACAAACATTCGATACTGTCGTTTACCTTATTGAAGATTGATTTTCAGTGTTTTATGGATTAATTTGAAAAGCCATTCGATAAGCTAGTATTTAGTCATTGAGAATTTAAATTGAGTTTTCTTTTTATTGTAACACTAGACACTAAAATAGAATACGGATATCATGTTGAAGGTACTCTAAGAAGTTTTTAAAAATTGCAACATCAACTGGAATTACAAAAGTAACGAGCGACTACGATATTTCATTTCAATACAAAAGAGTAACACAACCATCGCAGTGGCCAGAGTTGAGCCTCCAAACGCGAGCAAACTTACGCATGTGGTAAATCAGGAATGTCCTCGCCGAAAGCCCCAACGGGCAAACTGAGCGCGATTTGTAATTCGTGCAAGTCTCGCTGGGGCCGCGGCCACAAAGTATAGACCGAAGGGGGAGTTACGGGCATATTCGACCACGAGTCTTTATGCCGCTGCCGCAAACGTTCCATATGTCGCTGCTCTCTTATCCGTCGCATGTGCCATCTGAATCCGCCACAATTCGTTAACTTCGTTTTGCAAGTGGCTTTAAGTCCAGTGAAACTTTCTAATACTTACGTAATATTTAAAACTCTTAAAACGAGCAAAATATGACAAAATATTTTATTCGTTACGAGGATCAAATCTCATTCCAAAAAGATAATGACATTAAAATCTTATTGATTAACCTGTACCAGTACCCGCTGTTAGATAAAAAAAAACATACAGTAATTTAATTTTTTTTTTCTAATATTATTTTTAGTCGGACAACACATGGGACTACACAATCTATGACCGATTAATCGATACTCTACTCAATCAGCGTAATACGCACCTGTGGGCCTTTGGATGTCAACTATACTCTAAGGTGAATCACAAGGTGTAATGTTTAAACAAAGGGTTATTGCTGACACAAAATAACACCGGTGGTTCAGTTCGACCATTTGCGCCAGACAAGCCATTGCACGTCTAATTGCTTATTCACGTCTCCATTTTTATTTTTAATTGTAAATAATGGTAGATCTATCGTAGTTATAGCAAGGCAATGCAAAATTTAAAAGAATATAAAAAATAGGGAAAGCAACTATTTTTTTTTTCAAATTAGAAATGTTGAGAAATTGGAGTATTGAACGAAAATTATGAAATAGCACAAGTCTTACGAAAGAAGATAGAAAAACCACAAAATAATAAATAAATTTGCAACAAAATTTTGTACGCCTGTTATTTGTGCCCGAATAATTTACTATTGTCACTGCTTACGCTGTTTAGCCTACGAGTACTTTCTTTATTTCAAAGAACTCGTAAAGTCGTGAAGACGCAAATAAATAAACTTTAGACATAAGGTAGTGAAAACTGATTCACTACGTTGTCAGCAACCCCTTTATTAAAATTTCTAACTTTGAGTTCACCTTAGAATATAAAAGGCGTATGAGACTACAGATGCAGGTCTTCTATTATTTTTAAGCAACAGGGTTTACCGTCGACGTATCCTTCCCTAATTAAAAAATATCAAAACAAATTGAATCCTTCAATTTCCACCGGGTACTGTTATTTTTATTAAATTCTATTAATTGAAAACTTAATCGTAAACATTACTCTAATTTCGTGATAAATTGAAAATAAAAATGACCTTAACTGGCGCCTTTCCTCTGTTTCGTGTTTATTGTGACGTTTCTCATACGTCTTATCATTTACAAATTCAGCACAAACACAATGGGAGTCGGGCTCGTATTTATTTTCGCGCCATTGCGGTACCTGAAACATTTTTCTTTTTATATATTTCACGAAGTTAACCATTGTTACAGAATAAAGTGTATTACTTTGTATCGCGGAGTTAAGGTCCGATGATTAGCTAAAGAGCCAACAAAAAGCTGTGAATTTTGATCCAAAATTTAATTTGTATACAAAATAAACAGCTCCTGTTGACCCTCAACTATAAGCCAAAAATCTGAAAAGGTTCTTTCCTAAAGCAACATTGGTCGACTTGTTCGAGAGTATATCGCAAGCTGTGACTTTTGATACAGATAATCGACTGTACCAAAAGTCGCAGCTACGACAGGCCCTCGATATCTTCTCTTCTTACTGCTCCTGTTTTACAATTACAAGTTCAATTTGCAAATGCTGTCAAGGTCAACTTTCTTTAAAATTAAATACTTGTGATGAAAAATTGTATACCATAAAAAATCTTATCCCTTTATTATAATTACCTCGACATTGTTTAATAAGGCTAGATCAGGGTCGAATAGTTCGCTATTAACTCCAGTCGCTAGAGTGACGCACCAGTCACATTCTGGGTCTCCGATTAGAGTGTGGAACGGTTCATGTATTAAAACGCCGGGGGGAGGCGACCTCTTCTCTGGAATTATATTTCAAAAATAATATTTGTACCTTTATTCCTAAAGACAGACGCAATCGGAGTTGTAGTTATGTTTTGTGTAGCACAAACAATTATTTCTTTTTGGAATTATAAAGTAATTTCACTTAGAAAAATTTAAAATACCTCTTTTAGCACGTGACTTTTTAGTTTCTTTGCTGATACCAGTGGTGGAAAGAGCCCGCTTTTTTCCACGAGACGTGCTCGGTTGCTCTTCGGTCTGTGGACATGCATATCTTAAAATATATAAATTACGTGTCACGTTGTTTGTCCGCTATGGACTCCTAAACTACCGAACCGATTTCAATCAAATTTGCACACCGTGTGCACTTTGATCTAACTTAAAAGATAGGATAGCTTATATCTCAATTTATACCCGCAATATTATTTTATTGCAAAATATTTGTTTATTATTTGATAGTCACAAATCGAACAGATGGCGCTGTGTTGAACGTACTAACGTTTCAAATAAGCTACAATTTAATGGCATTACCACCAAAAAAGCATTGTGGTCCCCATGACTGGTGTTCTCCTACCGTTTCCCTTGAATAGGTTACTACTATGTAATATAACTAAAACCTTAGCCACAGCAACGCTTGGCCGGTCTGCTAGTATACTATATAGTTCAACAGTACTTTTTGAACATATGAAACAAAGCCGTTAAACACTAGCATTAAAACGGACAGACAGTTATAACTTATAAAGGGTTCCATAATTAATTATTTTATAGTACTGAAGTGTTACCCGTAGTGCTCCCGATTGTCGTCACATAACCCTCGAGTAACGCTTAAGCACTGACCTGCATGTGTCGTGACTCCTGGCTAAGTGAGTCATGAAGTTCTTCTATACTGAGCGATTGTTCTAACACTGGTTCCGTCGGGTCAATGGGGTAGCCCAGGTTTTCTTTAGATTCCATGTCCGGCGTTACGTTTAATATATCAACCTCACACTCCTCACTATCAGACACTATATCCTCCAGGGCACTCTTTCTCTTTTTGTTCACAAATAAATGGGACGCCGACTTGCGTTTCAGAATTGGATTCTCTTGGACTTCTTGAAATTCGGCTTCCCCTAAAGGCACCAAAAACACAATACAAATTAATTAACACGTTTAATGGTAACAGGTTTTAGGGACTTTAATTAAGTATTACTTTATGATTTGATAAAGTCCAAGTAAGTACTCGCAGGATCAAAAGTTAACTAAACATATGAAATAGTTCTAATTTACATTACAAACTAAAACAAGTTGTTTTTATATCACACAAGATATTCCAACATATCCCTCATAACTCACGACAGCGAATCTTTGGACTGGATAAAGACATTATACATAGTAATACAGTACCTAATTGATATGGGTCTTCTCCTGTCGGGATAGTATCGATTAGTCGTAAGCACTGAGCAAGAGATCCTGTCGATTTGTACTTGAAGGCTTTTTTGAATGAAGGACTCTGGTAGCTTTTCCCAAGCGCAACAGCTACAAGAAAAAATATTTAATTTGGAAAATCCAGATAAGAATAAAAAAAATAAGCGTAACCAAATAAACATCCTAATTATGGAATTAAATTTTTAATCAATTGAACAACCCATTTAATGTTTTTTTTTTATTCAGGCATAAAACCCCATAAAGCATTACAATCTCTAATCGACTTCCAATCGTATTGCCTCTTTTAAATGATGATTGAAGCAACTTATTATATTATAATCGATATTTTTATAAGCCTGGTAGGGTAGGCATTACCACCACCACCATGAGACAATCAAAATTTTAATTTTTAGTAGACGCACTTGCACATAATAGTTACAACTAATATTTTCACGCAAGTAATCACTTTTTAAGTACCTTCAATGGCAAAAAATAACATCAACTTTATTTTAGCTGTGTACGTGGCTATTTTAGTAACTGTAGGGATTATGTGAGAAAATGAAAATTTACACAAAAAACCTGTTTGCGAAAAAATTTACAACTTTTGAAAATTATATTTTATTAAAACTTATTGCTTTGTTCACACTACGAGGTCACTTACGCGAAAGTATAAGCACTCCAATAATTATAGTAAAATTTCACCAATTAAAAACAATTTACAAGACCAATTCAAAACGCAAACTTAAAAAATGTTACTAAAAATCGCGCCTGCTATCGATAGTCGGTTTTCGATTCATAGACTTTAGACATAGACAAAATAGTTTTTTTTTTAATATTTCTGATGGCATGATAATAATTATTGTCATCTTGCTGACATGACACCTGTCATATAGCTAGAATTGTCTATGACTTACGCAAATTACGCGTGTTGTACGTGCTATTTTATATGTTGCAATTTGTATTATATGAATTAGATCATTTATAAAACACTATTGTCATTAGATGTATCATGCATATAGCTTATTTTTGTTTACTAATACTAATATTGAGCGTACGCCTTTCAACCCTGGGGTCGTTCATCCGAATCGCGGCTGTGCGTCAACGGACTTTTCTATGTACGCTTGTCGCTTTCCATGCCGGACAACAGTGAGACATGCGTTAGATAGAAACATTTATGGTGTGGCAGGCATAGAAGACTGTCCACTTGCCTATTATGAAAAATAAATGATGATGAAACAGATACTTAAATCTGAAGCCCAGACCTAAGAGATTATATCGCCAAGGGTTTTTTTAAGTATTCTAAAACAGCACCTAAGTCTGAATTATTGTTAAAAACATTACGTTGGCCGTTGGTATATTTCAGCAAATATAGCCTGTACTCATCGGTAATGTAGTTTTTGAGTTAATTTTTTACAAACATAAAAAGTAATCGTAGCACCGGCAACTTAAGAAATTATGTATGATAACAGGACATCAAAATTGTCGTTTCTTACTCATTCCCAAGGTCTGAAATCAGCAATCCAATTTCCGTCTGCAAATACCCACCCTGGGGGTTCAGGCCCTCTCTTTCGAATTCTTCGTAATTATAATGGGTTAAACAGTACTTAGCAGGAGCAGATATATTCGGTTGTGGGCTGATTAATTTTAAAGAAATCATTGTTGCCTAGCCTAGTAGTCCTTATTATGCGACCTAGCCTAAGGTATTGATACTTCCGATGAATTTAATATTATGCAACACTTTGCTTTACATTGCCACTTACATTTTACACTTACACTGAGAATCAGTGGAAATTACTGTATTTCAAAGAAGTAACTCTTGTTATAATTGAACGTTATGATTATCCGAATTATATACTTTGTGAACAAAAAACTTGACGATTAAAACGAGTGGCGGAGAAATTCTCGACAGCTCTCGCCCGATCTAGCCTTTTTGAAGTTATACTTCTATAGGCGCGTTATGAAAATTTGATGAGAGTGAAATTTTACGATGCGCGCGCACCTATGACACAAAATTCGGAGTGTGATTATAGCGTGCGCAATCTACAAAAGAAATAGAATATAAGCTAACTTCACGCATATTCTATTTCTTAGCTTAGCAGCTTAACAAGAATTTTGAATATCCATGACAATTGACATCTGACAATGACATTTACCTTTTAAACAAATATAGGAGTTTGAATTATTGTTTAAAATAAAAGATTCTAAAAGTACCTAGTTATTTTCATTATACAAGTGCGAATTTTATATGTGCGTCTGAATTATAATCAGAAATTGAATATCTAAATCAATACTAATTAATATGATAAAATATTTGTGAAAAAACTGTGCCAACCTTCCTGAGTGCTTCAATACAATTGAGGTTAACTATCCGTATGTATTATCGAGTATTATTGTTGATTAAAACTGAAACATGAACTTAATTAACTTTTGTTTATTGCGTTTGTTACAGCAACTTTTTAGAAATATTCTACGACCCTATATATCAATAATTGAGAACAAAGATTTAAGCACGAATACTAATAAGGAGAAAATGAAGGCTTGGAGCGATATTACAGAGAAGTAAACATTTTAATAAGTACCTGCATCTCAAAAAAAATGATTACATTATTTAATCAAAACATGTAATTTTTCAGATTTAATCTAGCAAATATAAGGACAAGAGACAAAAAACAATTTCAGTGGAAGTGCACTAAATTGAATAAAAAAAAAGAGTTGTCATCTTATCGCCGTGAAACATCAAAAACAAGAGGTGGAACAAAGCCACCATCACCTTCTCCAGACACAATGGATATGGCAGAGATGATACCGCAACGGTTTGAAGTAGATTTCAATGAATTTGATTGTGATGGTGTCGAGGTAGGAATGTTAATTATAAATATGATGGTGATGTTCAAGGCTCAACCTCTCAAGCATAGGCACATACTTTATTCCCTTACAGGGTAGTTAGAGATATTGTAATACCTCAAAACATCCATGTTGCTCTTGTAGTACCGAATCTCTGTCCAGCCAGAAGTGAGCCCATTCCCACTTATAATGGACAGTGGGTATAATACACCTTAATACCTGAGTGCGAACCACTCACCATGACACTTAAATTAATAGATGTTATTTATATATTTCAGGATATTACAAATAAAATCATTTTGGAAACAATTGCTATCCCAAAAGCAAATAAAGCCAACAATGACAAGGTAATAAATCAGTTTTGACATAACTTGAATACTAAAAAAAGCCAAACAAAGGTGTGCACAACAGTGGCAACATAACTTAACAATTTCATTATTTTGTAGGATTAAAGAAAGGTTAAAGAAAATCATGTCGAACTGATCAACAAGAATCCCCAAACAACTCAAAAGAAACCTACAAGGAAGACACCGGTATTATATTTAAATTATCTCTATCTCTAAATAGAATAAAAGAAAGTTGCTATCCAGGTCTGTAGCATGTGCTACAAATTATATTATTAACACATTTATATAATTATATTAATATAAATGTGTTAAAAATTTTATAATATGAATTATAAAAAATTTTTATTTTGTAAGAGAATAATTATAAATATTTATTTATTAAATTTTTCAAATGTAAACTGAACTTTATTGACTATAATGACTCCTTTTCCAGTCTTTGATTATTTAATTGTAATTAATTATTTGCATGCAATCAAAATCTATTTCTAATAATGCCAAAGAAGTATAACTTCTTACGCGCGTACATAAGTACACGCACCCTTTTTTTTTTTTATTTTGGAACTGGTAGTAAATTGTAAATTAAAACTGCATTTTTTTATTTTATCGTTCACAAGTGCACCCACCAATATGTATAAATTAATGTAAAATTGATTTGATAATTCAAATGATTCAAATTAGTGACAAGTCGCCGTATAATAGTAAACATGGATAAATTTTAATCTATCCATATTGTGAAATGTCAAAAAATTTGTGTTCCGTAACATGTGATTGACATAACATTTTTGTTATGTCAATCACATGTAACCTCACATTGTGAAGCTTACTATAGGTCTACCAGAATCTGATGGCAAAAAAAAAGATTAAAAATTAGCGATTTTCATGTGGCAACAAAAAAAAAATATTTCATCTGTCATCTGAAATTTCGTGCAAAAGTGGTGAAAATGTCGAAGAAACCTCTTCGATCGCAAGCAAGAAATATTGTTTTCCATGTTTATCAAAGAATACTTGATCAACAAGGTGCAGAACATACACAATCATCGATATTGAGCCATGTGCAAGTGTTGACTGGTTAGTAGGAATGATACGTCTTGATACTTTGGTTTATTGGATTTTCGTGTGTATTTTATTATGTAATTATATAAACTTTGGTTTATTTCAGGGGTTTCTAATACTACCATAAGACGAATTGTTGCCGAGGGCAGATCTAACAGAGGCGTATTTCGGACGCCCGGTAAAAAGAGGAAAGGTGGTTTTGATTTAGAATTGAAAAAAAAACTAAATATCAGATAGATGAGATTTTTAAATCACACGGCCACGAAGTCTTGAGGCTCCCACCATATCATTGTACGTTAAACCCCATAGAATTAATCTGGGGAATAATGAAACAAAAACTTGCGGGTAAAAACGTTAGTATACCTGCAAGTAATATAAAAATTTTAACAGAGAAGAGATTTAAGAAGCCTACTCTCAATTAGGGATCGATGAATGGCGAAAATCTTGTGAACATGTAATAAAAATTGAAAATCAGTTCCTAGAACAAGATCAGTTAATTGAGATGCAGGAGGATAGGTTTATATTAAATACGGCGTCTTCCTCTTCATATGAAGACTTTTTTATGGATGTGCAGTATTTGGAACCATTTTCAAGTTCTAATAGCCTATAATTAATTAATAAACTCATGAACAGAATAATTGGAGTTTTCATCTAAATTTCAAACCCCAAATTCGCCACAGTAAAATTTTCAAAAATTATCCTTGATCATTGGATAAATTTTTATATTTGCATGTATCACACACAATCAGCCGCTTTAAGGGAAAAAAAGTATCAAAACGTTTTACTCCAATTTCCCCAGTATTGCTAGCGTCAATTTCTTATTTCCCTTTTTGCCATCAGATCCTGGTAGACCTATAATGGCTATATATAGATATATAGATAGGGTGTAAATGTTTAGCATTATTTATTAATCTCTTATGTAGAAATGACCATAATTACTGAACAAAATTAAATAAAAATAAGAAAACCTTTATTTTAAATTTATATAAAATTAAATAAAATAACACTGACAGTCTTTTAATTGTGCTTTCGTCGGTTGAACCCCTCACTACATGGTGAAGACCTCCTCCAGGCGTCACCCTATCTATTTTCCGCATTAATAAGAATAACGCAACGAAAATACTTCTTAGCTATTGAAATGATTACGAATACTTGTTGGAGGCAGTAAAATAAACAAAACAGATTCAACTTAAAAAAACAATACTTGTTCCATAGTACAACGTATGGGCCTTGTCTTGTCTTATTTATCTTTCCCAGACGTTTTTCTTCGACCCAACAGGTTTTCTTTCCGCAAATGGGTAATTATACCTCGTACCACATCTCTTCTGTCGATTCCGCACCATTTAACTAAATTCCGATAGTACATTTTTTTTTTCATGATAATAATTCTTATTCTTCTTCATGTGCCAATTTATTACTAAAGGCTGGCTATTAACAACTTGAATGGCCGGGTATCTTGCTCCTCTCTCGCTCCCGTACTTCTTCCTTGAACCAGCCCGTCTCTTGCTTTGAATCGCTCTTTATTATAAGCTGCAACAAATCGTATCGAAGATAACGTAAAATCTGTCCAAGATATGCGACTGTCCGCATTTTAACAGTGTGCATTAACATTCGTGTTGTCCCGGAATCTTTTTGATCCCTAGTTCAGTTTCTTTCCTCACATTGGTAATCTACCTGTGACCATTTTCGAGGGCCGCTGAATTTTGAGTTGTATATATAATAATAATAATGTATTAAAAATACAGATTGAATGCACGGCTTGATTTATTATCCCGATATCAATTTTTCGCTCGATAATGCGAGAAACATCAAAGCACTTGTTACACCGCTATCAATTGTTCATGGTTGTCTACAATTTTATTTAAATCACCTCAATTCAATATTCTCTTACAGTATGGTCAAGTCGTTGGCATCTCCGAGGAAGCACCAGGAATGTTTCTTCCTATATTCCCGACATGGTGATAGTCACATGTTTTCAGCATAGCGTCTGTTACTCTAAATAATTCGATTTATGTTTTGACCAAAAAATAGAACGTCACTACCGCCCCCTATCATCGTACCGTAGCTAATCAAAGTTTGTTTGAGCACACCCTTCTATCGGCCAGCGTTCAGGTCGTTGACTTTTTCGTGGTATGAAAGTTAGAACCTGATTTTATGTACATACTGCTAATTAAGTATGTAGGCCATATGATTTTGAGTTTTTTGGAAGTTTTACTTCCACCCCATCAAATTTCCAGTTTCTGACCAAATGCCGCTTTGATTGCCCATTGAATTGGATCCCGATAGCTGTCACCGTCTTGGCGAGCTGTTGAAAATTTCATCAAAATCGGTCCAGTCGTTTGAGAGGAGTTCAGTCACATACACACGCACAGAAGAAATATATATATTAAGATAATAAGAATATTTCTTCCACGGATTTGTGGTTAGTCTCTGTACTTCAGATTTCTAAATGTTATTTCAAAAGATATTTGCTTACCAAGAATTAATCTTCGTCTACATAATCTAATTGTTTGTTGTTCAAATATATAAGATGTTTAATAGAATTATTCTTTAATTTTATTTTGGCTTGATAAATTTCTGCTCTCTGATTGTAAAAAGAGTATCATTTCTTTCATATCCGGGGCATTTCCCTTCCCCCTAATACAGTCAGACACACTTTGTTTTACTTCTTCGTAAATGGGTGGTCCGGTATTTTCTAATTTTATTTAAGTTCAATACATTTATCCTCTATTTTCTGTGACTTGACAGTAGACCATGTTGCAAAATGATAAATAGTGTCAAACGCTTTTTGAATACTTAAAAAACATGTACGCTGAATCCGATAAGCGCGATATTTTTCTATTCATGATGTAGGAAAATGCACATTTTTCTAGTTTTAGCTTGTCGATCGATCAGATATTATCTGATTCGACATAGGAGCTGTCTGAACATAAGAGGAGGTATTTGTGTATGTTATCCTTGTGACATACAGCTTCTTATAAAAGTCCGTGGTTATTGTATCAGTCCTATTATTTAGACTCGTCATCTATCGTGAAAACAAAGAAATTATATTGGCAGATTTAGGCTGAAATAAACACGAAAATAATTAAGCTCGTTCATAATTGTAGGAAAATATTGTTATATATACAGCACGCTTTATTGTAACTCGCCGCCTTTCTCTCAAAATACAGCTAAAATAAACTTTGTTATATAGTTTTACAATTAGTCTGTTCGGAAAGAGAACCGTGGTGGGATACGAGATCGTTGGAGTGCTAAATTACCTTTTTGTTATGTTGATTATAGTTTGATATATCTATATATATAAAAGTTCGTATATACAAGGTGTTTCATCGGTAATCACATTAAATTGATAACGCACAAGAGCTCAACGATATTAAACGATTTTTTTAAAATTACTATGGCTAGTTCCCATTGATAATTTTTACAAGCGACGTTGCAGTTTTGAGTTATGCAATAGCGCATTATAGTGCGAAAATTAAGGAAAAATCTTACTATCCCTTGCCTTACTTAGACCCATCAGTCGAAATGTCACTGAGACCGAAACTGGTTATGTAGTTTGTCCACGCGCAGTTCTCTTATGCGCGCGTATTAATTTTAAGTCTAACGAATAAAGAAGTTGTGATTTGTAAAAACCCAATATGAATTAATAAAGTGATGTCATAATAGTGGTAGTAGCTTAAGAAACTAGGATTAGAAACACCAATTAAATAGGTACAAATAAATGTAAATTAATATTGGCTATCAACAAATATAATTTTCTTAGAAATCACTAAAAGTTAACCGTTAAAGTGAAGTGCCACAAATAAAGTAAAAACCTTGCTTGTTACCAACAGCAGTAAGTTTCTTACCTTAATATTGTATTTGATTTCATTCTTAAGACGATTACGTTTTATTTAACAAGTACTCGTACGTCATAAAATAATAATTTCCATACACAAAATAATCGTCGTACATGCAACATAAAGTAGAATGACTCTTTTGTTATGATAGGTTGAACGGTGAACCGTGTACAAAATTCTTTGATGTCGCCGACTGCTCTATTCGTCGCGCGCGCCGCTTTTTCAAAATCATATTATGTTGTTACGTATGGTTATTACATTTAGTTTAATTACCCAATTTAATCCAACGTAAACCTATTGAATGTATTAGAAGGCACACGTGAGATATAGTTGAGATTCATTCAAATATTCACATGACATGATTTCGACACAAGTGAATTAAGCTTTAATATGTATGACGGCGCAGTCCTAGCGCCATCTGCATCCGCCCATATGTACGTCCCGGTTTTAGGTATTCTTTTCATCCTACCGAACTAGCAGGCCGATGCGTGGCCTTGGCACTTATCAACGATGTCTAGTATGAATTAATTTGCAAGGGTGTTAAATTTATTGACTCATTTTACCTCAATTTGTTTGTATGGAAAAATTGGTTACTTAATTATTAACATTTTCCTTATACTTTTACTTATATCCTTTAAATAGAAAAATAAATGTGATAAGGTTAAACGTTGTATATATATATATATATATATATATTAAAAAAAAAGAATTATGTTAATTCGCGTCCAGTTACGCGTTCTCTTTCCATACAGATTCTTAACGTAATTCGATTGATGTTGACAGTGATCGTGACAGTTGATAAATGGCAACACTCGTTTTCACATTTCATGACTCCGCTCGACTGCTTTGAAATTGTTTTGTTTTCTTTATATCATGTTGCCGGCCGACGATCCGTGTTAATACGACCGATCCAATAAGTGGTTAGAAATATCTTAGGAGACTTTATACTACAAGGAACTCGGTGCAAGTAATCGACATAACCTCTCTAATAAAGCAAAACTCTTAATATGTAAAGAATATTCTATTTATTTTTACCAGCGCTTGAATTCCATAAAATAGCTACAAAATGATATATCACGAGGCATTTATCATAGTAAACAAAACCGAATAAAACTTACCTTGCGGCGTTTCAATTTGCTGCTTTGAGCGGCACCTGGTCGATTTGCTCGTACTTTTCCGCTTCTTTCTTTGAACCATAGGATTGGTCTTAGGAGAGGCTTTCCTGCGAAGTTTATGGATAAGCTATATTTGTAGATACCCCGACATATAATTAATAACTATCTTGATGTTAATAGAAAAAAGGCTACATCTTATCTGTGATCTGTCACGTGATCAATGAAACAGTCTTCGACGAAATTTAACTGCTAACTGCAAGACAGTACACGTGTATTAGAGTTAGACAGGCGAAGATATATTATAGGTCCGTGATCGTCGATTTGACTAATCAATGTCCGATTTGTGTCACACGACTGACGTATAGAAATCAATATTGTAATTATCGAATTGGATGAATTAATGCTCATGTTACTCCAACGCTTTCGATAGCTACGTTGTACACAGATTACTCTCGAGAGCAATTAATGTCATACTGCCAAATAAATCTTATTTACGAAGGCGAGGTAAACGCAAGCATAGATAATTCAATTAATACAAACTCGCATATCGCACACGGCCTCGACGCGATCTCTATCTCTATCTTTAGGTAACGTCTCCGATATTAAGTTTCACGAGTCTCTCTCTCAAAGTCTTTCGTCTGCATTCAAATTAAAGGATTTCAGAAACATAATTAATTGGTGAAACATTACAATACAATATTAAGTGAGTTCTGTGTAACTTTGAAGGTTAATTTTCGCCCTTGTAATTCATTAAACATTGAGATTGCACTGAGATAATAATATATATAATTCTTTTTGATTTTGAACTTTCTATGTTTAATTTTTCTCTTCTCTTCTATCGTTTACATTATATAGATCTACTTTTATAGTATTGCCGTTCAGATTTTCGGTGTGATGAATAATCAAACATTAAAAATCAAGATATCAATCAGTCTTTTCTAATTTTTCGCTTAGCAAATAAATAATATTAATATTTATTTCGGCATGAAACAGTCGGCTTCACTACGGTGACGCCTTCGCCGAGCCGGAATGTGTTGGTGGCGCATAGAGAAATAAAACTCGCATCGCTACTTTAATCACTGAGCTCACCGGGCTCTACTCGCTCAGCAAAAATACAAGGAACATCGTTCGTCGTCACTTTCATTATGTGGATATATTATATCGCATAGCTTGTGTTCTGAATATACAATAAACTCTTTGATAAGTAGCAACAACATTTGTTACCTATTCATGGTTTGTCGTGGCTTAGCCTGGCTCTGTGGCTGCTTACAGTTCGCCTTCTTCATCCCGGAACGTTTGTTCTCAATCATTTGGCCGGCACACGTTTTTAGCTGTGCGTAGTTTGCTCCTGCGGCTATTTCTCTATTATGTTTTTCAATGAGAGCTGAAAATAAAAAAATCTACTATGAACTCTTTTGTACAGCTGGATAATTAAAAATTCCTTAAACACAGAAAAGTATTTACAAATACATTAATATATTGTATAATTAAATAAATGATTAGAAATTATACCTTGTGCAGAGATTCGTGCTCGCTCAAAAATTTCTTTTAGGTCATTTTTTCTTTCCGGGGATCTGTGGCTCGTGACAGCTGGATAGAAATCGACAATCTGAAAACAACATTTATGAAGTAAAGTAACGCAAGACCTCATTTAGTTAATTCAAACATTTAAGCAGTTTTGTATAATTTGATAATCTATGTATCTGCACACTCACGCTTTTTTCCCGAAGGATAGGCATAGACCACGGATCTCCACAGTCAAACCACATAATTTCTTTATACATAACATATAGAAATGCAACGCGTCACAAATACATTGTTTTTATCACTATAATATTCAATTAAATACCAAAATATTATGACTCTTGTCATACTTATGTCATGTATTAAGTATTATACAAGAAACATAAAATAGAGTGTAGTTAATATTACATATTAGTAGTAAAGAATTAGAAATATCAAAGGTATCCGTAAAACCTATTTTTAAAATGAGTTATTTCATTGTTGAATAACTTTGAATTTTTTTTTAATCAAACATTGAAATGTTTGATTAAAAAAAATCCTGGCAATCTTGCTGGTTTATGTGTTCTACGTGCATTCTAAATCAAATCAACTATTATAATTACAGAAAACTAATATATAAGATTCACCTCACCTGAGGAGATTTCTGGGTTATTGTTTCAGACGTGACAGTGGATGTCGGTTCAGGTGGGTGGTATGTCATTTCGTGTGGATCACAAGCAATACTTATTCCAAAAGTACCAACTAATTTTGCCTTGAGCTGAAAAGATGCAGTCAATGGTAATAACATGTACCTTTAAGTTCAGTTGTCAACTATTTTAGTGGATAACATATTATGTTATAAATATACATTGGGCATTACAGATAAAAAGAAATATAAATATTTAAAAAACTCTTGCATTTTAGTGAACAATCTTTAATCTACTAAATCGTATTTACACTGTGTCTTTACACAAACATAGATCAATACTTTCGTTAAAATGATGAATTACAACTGATTGAAATTTTATAAATAAGAGGGCTATATATGTATAAAATATTCTACATTAAATAAAATTGCTATATAATTTAAAATCATCTTCTGTAAGAACCTCATGATTAGTTTTTATTTTACAATTGTAAGAGCATAAATAAGAGATTTTATATTATTTCAAAAACATATCTCTGCAATGGTTATATTACAGCAATATATATATATAATCAATATATATTAATAATATTTGTCTCATATCTTACTATTACTTCTTACGAGTTTGTGGACAAACATACAAACACTTATAAAATACCTAGCTTGGAAGTCTAAAATATGATATAACATACATACAGGTCAAACTAATAACATATTTTCAAGTCAGTTTATAAAGCAAATCTACCATAGATTAAATAAGCTAACATGGCTAGTATTTATTCATAACAATATCTCAATAAGTTTCACAAATCTTGATTCATGTTAATGTTAAGAACAAAAAACACTTGTACTTTAATGAGATGGTTTATTATTTTTGACTGTCTCATCTATGTGTACATCATACAATTAAACAATAGATATTTTTAGAGATAAAAATTAGTTGAAACCATTCTTTAATTTTGGGCATTCTCTTCAAAGGCTTAATCTCTTGTTAAAATACCTATATTGATGGATTTATTTCATATATATTATGGACATTTGACCATAATAGTAGCCATACAAATAAATAAAAAGTATAAACTCACCGCATTATTCTCTAATTTCAGTACTTGATATAATTTGTCTTTCTTTGTAATTGCCTCGTTTTGTTGTTGTACTAACTCTAAATGGTAAATTAGTAAATCTTTCAATCGCTTATTTTTCAGTTCTAAGGCGTTCAGGTGCTCATGGATTTTATTCAAGTTAAGATATTTGTCTTCTTTTTCTGCTACTACCAATCGTGATGCTTGTTCCACCTGCTTATCAAGAGGAAGAACAGTTCTTCGTCCAGGATCCGAATGGCACGCGTAAATATGGTCAAAAGGAAACCTCACGAGATCATCCTTAGGGTCCAACTGATTAAGTGTCGTCAATCCAGTCGAAAAATTCATCAAATTATTTTTATTAACACTATTGCGACTGTTCATTTTTAAAGAAAATAAATGTAACAAACCGAAGCAAGCCTACCGGCTGTCAAACCTCATATGTCTTTTACGGCCGAAACATTACAGCTGGGCGAAACACGGCGAAAACCGCCGAAGCCCGGCGGAAATTTTACGTCTATGCATTACACCAATAATTTAACACTCAACCACACACACAATAAATGATTACACTTGCAGTTATACTACTCCGTGGTATTTTGATTGTATTTTTTTTTATACAATCAGAAAATAGCTAAATTTCCTTTAAAACATTGAACAAATAACAAGTGATGAACTAATGCTTTCAGGCAAAGCTTTCGCCTTACGATGGCCTCACGCCTCATCAGTGTTGCCGATTACAAAAGTCTATAATTCCCGAATGCCAATTGCCAAGTGAGAAATTCCCGATTTCGGGAAAAGAAAAAGATGTTTTGGTGCCCTTCGCTCTTTAAATTAATAATTAAAATATTACTGATGGAATTACTAGTAAAATACTACTACTAAAACGAGGGTAGAAAAGCGCGGGAAGCTTCGTTCATGGTAGACGTGTTTTTTCACGGTGGTGAAAATTCGAAGTTCTTCGAAATATTCGGAACTTCGAAATTCTTGTCCATGCGCACTATGTGGCCTGCCCAGCGACACTTAGATGTTGCGACAGCCCTGACTACGTCTCATACGCCGGTCTCTTCATGAATGGCCTCTTTTCGTACGCGATCGCGAAGGGAGATGCCAAACATTGCACGATCCATCGCCCGCTGCGCAACTCTCAGGCTTTTCGCCGTGCGTTGTGTGAGCGTTATGGTTTCGGCTCCATAAGTAAAGACAGCCTGTATGCACTGATTGGAGACCTTTCTTAAGTGCTATAGAGACTGATCTGTCTTCTCTACTTGTACTTTATCTGTGGCTGAGTATTTTGTGATATTTATAAATTTTCAAAAAAATAATCGGTTATTTTATGTTTATCTATAAAAATAAAATACTATAGCACAATGGTTCATGGTTGTCACTGTTAATATTTTATAGGTTCATAAGATCTTCAAAATAAAAAACATTGTTTTTTTTGAAGTTATACTTCTTTAGGCGCGTTATGAAAAATTTATGAGAGTGAAATTTTACGATGCGCGCGCACCGTGACACAAAATTATCAGTATGGGCGCCGAGCGTGCGCGAGCGAGATGGGAATAAGACAATCTACATGTAAATAGAAATAGAATATGCGTGACGTTAGCAGCTATGCCAAGAATTTTGAATGACCATAATGACATTTGTAAACCTTTTAAACAAATAAAGGAGTTTTAATTATTTTTTCAAAGTAATTTAGCAATGCTTTTTCGCAAAGACCTATTGTTACTTAGTTAAAAGGTTATGAAACCTACCTAGTTATTAAATTGAATTAATAATATAATAAAATAATAAATAATTATTATTATTAATATTAATTAATAATTGAATAATATACTAAATATTGTTAAATTATTAACGCTAAATATTTATTATTTAATATTTAAAAAAATAAAGAAAGTCAAAGAAGTATAACTTCTTACGCGCGTACATATTAAGTACACGCACCATTTTTTTTTTTTAATATTATGGCAATAGTTTTAACTTTACGCCAGTTTCAAGTAAAAGGTTGGGAAACTATACGCGAGAAAAAATAAACAAAGACATCAAAAGGAAATAAAGGGATAAGCTGGTTAAAAACAAAAAATGTACACAAAAATATTACATTTTAATATTATTATAGATTATGACCCGTGAGTAGATATATGTACCTATTTTCTTGTAGTCGGAGTTGGCTTGGTTAAAAGACTTACCTTCAACGAGAAAATTTGCTTGCATGCTTTTTAATAGTGACTGTGGAGTTAGAACCTATAACTAACCTATATTCCAAGAAAGTTACAAAATTAATTTTAAGGTTTAGGTTAAAAATACATTTTTGTTTCAGTAATCACAAATGAAAATAAAATTGGGACAAGCAATGGGTAAAAATAGTAATTTAAGCTTTATATATAATTATATTTGTTTAAAATGTGTACTCATTTAAAATGTTAGTATATAGAAACAAGTAATATTAACTAAAAAGGAAGAGTCCTGGCTATAACTTTTGAACTTGGCCACAGCCTTCTGCATTCTATATAGACAGGCATGTTTTGTTTTTAAAGACGAGTAGCTTATCAGCCTTCTGTGTCTTTGTTTGATTTTTGGATATTAGACAAACTGGTTTGCTGACAAATAAGTATTGCTTCGCCACTAACTAACTGTTCAATATTAACATAGAAAACATTTCGTCTTTCAGTTTAAGAATGACCCAATTGGAGTAAATGGAATGGTAGAAATTAACATTTATTTTATTAACAACAGTTAGGTCTTTTAACTCTTATTGTTGTTTAATTTTAAATTGCTTAACTAATCACTTCTTAAATTTTGTTTGATTTTAGGGAATGGTCACCTAAAGACAGCCTTCCACTTATTGTTCAAAATTAAATAATTTAATCATATTGGTACTGTGTGAAAGTCTATATTAAAAAACAGGGAGGATAATCAAAATTTACATTTTCTACCAGTCCCCAAATCAAGGATGTAGAGTAGGTGAGATGAACTGGCATGAAAATCTTTACCACTTTTTTTAATTGCAAATATAGTACATCTTATTCCACCAAGTATAAGAAAATTGTAAGGAAGTACAAGTACAGTTTGCAAGAAGAGGGGCAACCCGAACCTTTGGTTTTGACTCCAAGCAATGTTACCGAGAAGTGTCAGTAAACTTTTACCGTAAATTTAGTATAGATCAAAGTTTTATTTAATATTTTACAATAAATATTCTTCTTTGCAAGTTTGATTGTAGGAAAAGTAAACTATGTAAAATCAAAATTTTCTTGCAAAGTTTTCATTCTTGTATAAAGTAAAATTCTGATAACTAATTATTATGTAATTTTATTACATTGAATTAAATCTTGCTGATTCTGCAACAGCAAAATTTGATTGTATATTTGTTTGTTTCTTGAATTACTTCAAAATTAGTAATGTCTTCCATTCTCTTGATTACACACTTTGTGTGTATTAGAGTAGCCTGGGGTATCAAGCTTATCTCTATTGTCAGTTTCATAATATTTTTATTAAACCAATAAGAGTAGCACTCTCGATCATTATAACCCTGTACAGAGGCATAGGACAAAGTAACAATAATCAAAAGATTGAATCTGTGTCGCCAAAGCTTGGAAATCATAGATTAGGGATATATCTAATATGTAGAGACTTTATACACCAACCCAAAATACTACTTATCATTTTTCGATGGCAAAAATGTATAAACAGTAGGAAAAAAACTCAATATCGTTTTTAAAAGACGTATCTATAGACACGTTACAGGTATAGGCTTGATGACTTTTCTTCAGTTTCAGTTCTATATTTGGGGTTTCTCATACACTTCAGATTTATACTTACCAACATTCAACTGAGTACCAAGTAACTAAGAATTGAGGAATGTGATATACAGATGGACGGATAGACAGATAAGACGAAACTGTAAAGGTTCCATATTTGCTATTTGGGAACACACCCCTTAAAACATGATCAATATTTAATAAAACACTATTTTGACCGGATTGAAGTTATGTATTATTATAAATTTTTATAATAATACATAACTTCAATCCGGTCCGGTTATGTTTATGTTCACAAAAACGAACCTGATTTTGTCAAATTGTCTGATCTTCACTCCCGAAATACTAGGAACAAAAATAATTTAACAGTTCATGCTACTCGCCTTCATAGAATAAGCAACTCGTTCATGGGTCAATGTATACGCTTTTACAATAAACTTCCTATGGATGTTCGTAAACTTCCCCTTAAGAAATTTAAATTTTTTATTAAATCAAAATTATTAACTAAAGGATATTACAGGATATCCGATTATTTAAATGATAGAAACGCCTGGGATTGAGCTGCTCGCTTATACAGCTATCGCTTGTGTTTTTTTTAAGCTGTCTTTCACTTTTTTTTTTTTTTTTTGCATGTTGTACATATTTACAATCTGACATGTCTTGTGCTTTTGCATATGCATTTTATTTTATTCTATTGACATGTTTGTGCTTAGTGCATATTCATTTTTTTACATTTTTTTTTTCTCTACATTACTGACATGTTTTGTGCTTTTGCATACAATATTTTACACTTTGACATGCCAAGTGAATAATGTTTATATTACGATTATATTTTTCAATTTCATTATTTTTTCCTTGCTTTAAGGTACACCTTAAAAATACATTTTGTATCCATTGTAAGTGTAAACATTATGCGGGTATATCATAAACTCTTTTGCTTGATTTATAATTTGATACATTTTAGTATATAGTTATTTTGGGCTGGCGATCTGAGTGAGTTGTTGCCCCACATATTTTTATGGTGCCACTGGCGGTATTGCTGTGTACCGGGTTGTGCAGCTCCCTCAAAAATGGTTGAGCTGCATGAGCTATTCGGGGCATGCTTGCCGTCTGCTGGCACAGGCTTGCTCAGATCGATCTGGTTCTTTCTTCCAAAGACCAGTCCAGTAAATACTCTGCATTTGTTTACACCAATTTATTAATTTATTATTGTATTATCTGGACTATAAAAGAGACTAAGACCCCCGAGTTTGTTTCGACATTTCTTCTCAGGGCAGTCAGTTAGGAAATGTCGACTTCATCTAGTTTAGGATGACATTGTAAAAGTGATTTATATAGTCCTACTTGCAAGAATAAACTATTTCATTTCATTTCATTTCAAATTTACAACTATTTAACATAATTTTAAATTTATCCGACGTTTCGCGTGCTTTACAGCGAGCGTGGTCACGGTCACCGGTTATGTTAAATAGTTGTAAATTTATAATAATACATAACTTCAATCCGGTCAAAATAGTGTTTTATTAAATGAATAAAAGTTATGTTAATCAAAGACAATACTATGATCAATATTCCCAAGTTCTGGAACTCCTGCTAGTGCATTAAAAAATATAAGTATCT